GACATAGCGAACTAAAACACAGATGGAAACACATGATCTTCCAAATGTTGCTGAACTGCAGTTCCCATCAATTTTCATTACTGACCATGACTATAGCATTGCCATCTATCTCCACAGATAACACAGTTCTGAGGCTTGGGAGTTAAACATTCAGGTGAAAAGTTCTGGAAAGGACTAGTCCTATTAATAGGATTATGAAAGGCAGTTCTGGAGGACATAGAGTGATGTGTGTTATGCAACTATGGTGTCCATCCCTTAATGTAGCCACTGCTGAAGAGAATGCTTTCCTGTTCCTAAAACTGAAGTAAATGATTTTTTTTAATGGATTAGAGGAAGTTTAATGAATTCTCCTTTGCCTTTGGCCAGAACCAGAAGTATCTCTTGGTGATGGTAATGGTAGTGATGGGGGAAGATGGGAGGAAATAAGCAAGATAAATCGATCAATAAACTTGAATTCACTGAGAAGAACTTTCAATAATATAAATTTGATAAATAAATAAATAAATAAAATATTAAAAAAGATGTTACATGAACCCAACTTGTATGGAAGATCCATGGCATAAGCCCATGGATATTCTCTTAAACATTTTCAACAGCTTGCAAACATTGTTTTCATACCAATTGTTAGAACCACAGAAATCTTTTTCAGGCCAAAATTGCAACTGACTTTTGAATGGTGTGCCAGGAACCATACCGAAACAAGCTGATGCAGCTAGAACAAAACCTATTTTTTTTATTATAATTTGGAGGCCAGTTTTAGGGAAATTCTGAAAATTGCATCCAAGGCTTTTGAGGTGAGGTGATGCATGTCACTGAGACATCCATTTGTACAGATTCAGGAGATGTCCACAACACGGATTGTTTTCAATGGTAAATGTCTTAGTCAAAATGGCATCTCTGATGGAGAAATTCATCTTTAAGTTCACCTCCCTTGACTGCATTTCCCCATTTTTTCTTTCACAATTATTCACCCTGAGTGGTTCCTTCCAACACTCATGGAGTATGGAGAAGGCAGTGCGAGCTCAGTTGTGAGGGTTCAAATCCATCATGAAGTTCATAACAAAGCCAAAGTTTAAAAATTGTACTGGGAATATGGAAATTATCTTGTCTCACCACAGTTGCAGCCCTGACTGAGGTTTAATTAAAACCAAGTTAAACACACAAACACATACATACACAGAATAACTATTTCAGATATGACTCTACTGCATATCTTTAAAAAGCAAAAATAAAGCTTTTATCATTGAGTTTTTAATTTACTGAAAGAATCTTCCAGCTCAGTTGCATATTATTTGT